AAACAAAACACCTTTATAGTCAAACACTCCTTCATAACGTCTGTGGATCAGAAATGTCTTTCTCTTTCTTCTCAGCAACACACACACACACACACACACACACACACACACACACACACACACACACACACACACACACACACACACGCACACACACACAATGATGCACCAATACATATCATCATTAGTCCAATATCATTAAAAGGAGGGTAATTACTCCAGACCAGTGCACACACACACACACACACACACACACACACACACACACACACACACACACACACACACACACACACACAGTGCCTGCAACATGTAAACTGGAATTAGTGTTAACAAACAGGTGTGTGTGTGTGTGTGTGTGTGTGTGTGTGTGTGTGTGTGTGTGTGTGTGTGTGTGTGTGTGTGTGTGTGTGTGTGTGCACTGGTCTGGAGTAATTACCCTCCTTGTAATGATATTGGACTAATGATGATACGTATTGGTGCATCATTGTGTGTGTGTGTGTGTGTGTGTGTGTGTGTGTGTGTGTGTGTGTGTGTGATACCATGTGTGCTAGCTGTCATAAAAGCAAATTACGAGCATGAAAAAGGAACAATGTGAGCTAAGTTTTTTAGCATAAATGCTGGTTGGATAGAGGAGAGAGAGGCAGGGGAAAAGTAGAGAGAAAGGGAGGAGGGGGTTTATGTGTATTTATTTCCTCTGGAGGGAAGGGAGGAGGAAAGGGAGTGAGGAGGCGGTAAGAGGAGAAGTAGAGATGGCAGCTGGCTCTCAGGCTTCTAAAAACAAACGGAATAGAGCTCGTTTGGAGGGGGACGCATTCTTCTAATATCAGGAGGAGAGGAAAGCAGACATGAAGTACAGACCGCTGGTGAGATGCTCTCTGGGTTGCAGTGGAACACGAGCGGAGGTCTGGGGTTTTCTGCAGGAGAAGGATCACTGAAGGGACGATGGAGTTTAGGGAAGGAAGTTCAGAGGAGAGGGTTTGTGTCACGATGTTGAGTTGTTGTTGAAGGACTCAGGTGAGAGAGGACATGTGAGAGCTGTGGCAGGTTCTGTTTGTATACGTGACAGCATCAATGGTTGCTCACAGAGTTTATTGTACCTATAGCATTCCTTACATTCCTGTATCTAAATATGGGAATATGCTTGTTTTTTAAATAGAAACAAATATATAAAGAAATATAAAAAACTGCAGAAAATGTTTAAGAATATATTAACAAGTAAAAAATGAAAAAAGTTCTTCTAAAAAAATAATACAATTCAAATAATATGAAATATATATATATACTAAGAATAAAAAAAAGTGTGTGTGCAGGGCGAGGCCATCACATGGTGGTGTTGTGTGGCTGGGCGGCATTCTTTGGCAGCGAGTAACAGAGAGCGTGTTAATGAGAAAAATGTGTGTTGATGTATCAGCTGTGTGTGTGTGTGTGTGTGTGTGTGTGTGTGTGTGTGTGTTGATGTATCAGCTGTGTGTGTGTGTGTGTGGGACTCAAGGTGAGATTTGAGTTTCCATAACATGTCTTCTTTCACACGTGTGGAAAGAAGACGTCCAAAAACCACATTTCGTTTTTTATTTGAATAACTGTGTCTGTTAGTGTCTGAGGATTTCTCCTAAATTTCTCATTTGAACATTCAATTTCAGAAAACTGTCATTAATGAATTGGGAAGTTTCGCGGTGATATCTTTTAGTTCAATGTTTTGTAAGAACTGAACAATACACATCTAAATGTCCTCTTCAGCAGCACTTTCACACATCAAGCTCTCCAGTTTCCTTCCCATCGATACTCTGAAGCTTTCTACCGAGGGTGTCGTTCACACATCACTCACAGCCGAATTGAACACCCTTTTACTCATGACACATACATGCAGAAAATTGACTTTTTTTAACCTGGTTCCATCCAATGACAACATTTCTGTTATGGAGAAGTATGCACATGATCACATATTTAAAGGGGCCTTATTGTTATGCTCATGTGCCTCTACTGGCCGTTCCGCCTACTCAAACAGTTGAGCAATTCAAATTTGGCAAATAAAAAGATAAAACATGTTAAAAATAACATCGTGTTAAAACAATGAAAGGGTTAAAACAAAAAAAGACATCTATGGCGCGTTTCCACTGCAGGCCTCGCTCGGCCTCGCTCGGTTTGGTTAGGCCTTATTAGGCCCGGCTCACTTTAATGCTGCGCTTCCATTACAGTTTAGGAACTGGGGCAGTTACTATAGTAACGCAGTGTAGGCGGAGCCGTGACGTCATCTTCAATGAGAGCCCCAGAAAAACAACACAGCCGTTAGCTCTTAGCAGTCAGAGCACACAGCTCTTCATATCTGTTCAGAAACTAGACAAAAGTTAAACAAGTACAAACCACAGACTGCCTGTGTCATGGAGAATACAGTCGCTGGTTTATTTATGTCTGTATAGGCCGTTGTTGTGAGTGTGGACGGTCGGAGCATATATAACGTTAGCTTAGCCAATCTCCATTTAGAAAACACGCATTTTAAAGGGTTTTTCGCCTGCCATCTGTCTGCAGACTCAAAGCATTAATTCATGGTTCTTACTAACCGGTATCAGTATGTTGTTACTTCGGCATCATTTTGAAACGTGTATTACAATTAATTCACGGTCAAATATGTTCATCCTTGCCAGCGATTCTCTCTCTAGTTTAGCATACTCAGCCCGACTCAGCCTGGTTGTTCCTGGCCCTAGAACCACGATTTTATGGGGCCAGAAAAACTGTGAATTAAGACCCGCTAGCCGGTACTAGGCCAAGTGGAAACGCAACCAAAAACGGGCCCCCACGGCTCGGCACGCTTAAAGCGAGCTCCCCGCTGCAGTGGAAACGCGCCCTGACCCTCTGCTGTTGTGTCCCACAGGCTGTCAGTAACTCTGAATAATCTAGAGCAGGGGTCGGCAACCCCTGGCACCGTAACCAGTGGCACACTAGGAATAAGTGGAATAAGTGTGCAAAATATTTAAATTGTATTTTCGGATCCTGAACGAGACAGAGCGCGTCTGCCCGTTACCTGCAGAAGGAAGCCATGCACGCAGCGCAGCCCCGCTCTCTTTAACTCAGGCTACCCATAAGGAGCCGTACACATGTTTTTGCGTGGCTGTGTCTTTAGTTGAAAGCCCAGTGACGATCTGCTCATCGAAAACAATATGCTACACAGGGGCGGACTGGCCATCTGTGTGTTCTGGAGAATCACAGAACGGACGGTCGTCATTATTATTATGCCGTTTAAACCAAATTTAAACCGCATCATGTAAGTGACAACTGGCTGTTTAATTGTGCCGCCATTACAAATGCAGCCAATAAGACAGTGGTCACTGAGAACGAAGAAGACGCCAGTTTTGTACCCGTCAGGGTTATTTGTGAGGATGACATCAAGGAGGGTGGATTTTTCTGGATTGTTGGTGTCATACCGTGTAGGAGTGAGGATAATCTGCGAGAGATTAAGAGAGTCCCATTGTTTTTGGACCTGCGCAGGAGGGTTGAGCATGTCCCCGTTTAGATCCCCCAGTAGCACAAACTCAGAGTCAGTGTTGGGTGCCAGGAGGGTGCTGAGAGCAGGTAGGGTACATGCTGGGGCAGAGGGTGGGCGATAGCAGCCAGCGACTTTTCAGTGTAGAGCTATTTGCCAGTTTAATGGTTACGATAAGTAGGTCAAATTGTTTGGGGACAGATTCACTAGTGGCGATCGAACACTAGAGGTGTTGCTTTGTGAATATAACCACTCCACCAGCTTTAGAGGATCTATCCTGCCTAAACACATTATAACGATGCCGATGTCAGAGTCTGGGATATTGTTCTTCAGCCAAGACTCAGTGATGACAAGTACCTCCGGGTTTGAGCTGTGAACGAGTGCTTTTATCTGGTCCATTTTTGGCAGTAAGCTTCTAGCATTTACATGTAGAAAACCTAAAGCTTTACGAGAGCAGAAGTCAGGGAAACTCAGATCATTGTGACAAAGATTGACATCAGGGCACAGGTCAGAACTAGGGCTACATAGATCCAGGATGAACGTGCACATTGCCCGATATCATCAGTACTAATACAATCAGAGCACGGCCAAGAGCTAGCAGTGAGTCACAATGCCTAGTTTGTTTAGTGCGCACATTGACAGTGGAATGTAACGTAATCATCTTGTGTAGAGACCTCATACTCACACATGATAGTAGTGGCGGTTCACATTTGTTATGCGCAGGAGGGGGTAGGGAGGCGGCGAGTAACGCAAGGAAAAAGCAGTTCAGTTTGGGATTAGCCATTAGCCAAGTAATAAAGTATTTCTACCGTGAGTTCTGTGCTGAGTGCGTTAGCATTTTTTCGCTCAGGGCTCATTTAGACGCTTCTTGTGAGACTTGTGTTTTGTTTCGGTAAAGATGGTTCGTATCGTCAGTTAGCTGAGTTTCTTCCCGTTAAGTGGGTATGACACATTCATAGGTTGTTAAATGTTAAGAGACTCAGTTTGGCGGGGGCTGCCGGGCTCAACCGCTTAGAGACGTCCCGCCCCTTAGCCTATCACGTACAATGTGTTGGAGCGCTAGCCAATAGGAGCGCTAGTGTTTAATAATGATGTCACTATGTTCTGGAAGTAAACAAAGGAGCTTTTTCAGACCATTTACAAACCTATAGATCAGGAAAAGTAAAACTCCAATAAGCATAAAAATCACCTTTTATTTTCTATTATTCTATAGAATCAGCTGGATCTCACTTTAACCTCACCTTTGCATCCATGAGGATTTGATCATTTTTTACAAGCGTTTCTCCCCTCCCACCACAACGTGTGTGTGTGTGTGTGTGTGTGTGTGTGTGTGTGTGTGTGTGTGTGTGTGTGTGTGTGTGTGTGTGTGTGTGTGTGTGTGTGTGTGTGTGTGTGTGTGTGTGTGTGTGTGTGTGTGTGTGTGTGTGTGTGTGTGTGTGTGTGTGTGTGTGTGTGTGTGTGTGTGTGTGTGTGTGTGTGTGGGGGGGGGGGGGTGTGGGTGTGTGTGTGAAGAGAGAGATTCCTGCGGGGCGTCTGCCTGGTAGTTTACGTTGGGCTCGCCTCTCTCTCTCTCCTCAGGCTAAGGCAACACTTTCTCTTCATGTCTGCGCTGAGAAGAGTTTTCTGAATGAGTCGCTAAACTTTTTCTCGTTACTCCTGGATTGTTTTATGACTTGAACAAACATGGACGTTCGTTGGGGTAGGGTGAGTCTTGAAAGTGTGATTTTTCAGAATGAAAGTGAAGAGCAGTGAAGGATGTCAGTTTCAGTGTAAACCTGCTGCAAGTACTCGTTGAAGTGAAACTGCACTTCCTGTCCACTGTAGATTAACTCTCTGTATACCTGTCGGTGTTTGACAGACACAGGACTGTATCTTGCTAAATTTGCCGCTGGTTATTTGTTTGTGTAATTGTTTGTTTGCATGTCCTTATTAATGTAGTAAACAAATAAGGACAATATGACAACACTAGTGTTTAATACAGTATTGGTTGGTTGCCATAATGGTTGAACTTTCCACTTTATCCACTCTCTGTTTGTCAATCATTGCATTGCATTGTTGCAGTGGCGGTTCTAGACCAATTTGACTGGGGGGGCCAGTTATTTTCTGAGGGGGGCACAATACATGCAGGACGAAAAAGAGAACTAGACAGTATGAAGTAATTGCGCATAAGAAAACAATGCAATACAGTTATTGGTATTTGTTTCAGTACACTTATTTATTTCAGATAGATCTTATAGTTATTACTGTTATCTTCAGCTTAAGTTATAGTGCAATGTTTGCACTAACACCATATTTATATAAAAATAAAGGCAATGAACAGTTACATCTCTACTTTACATAAGGGTGTCTGCACAATCTCACATTACAACAACAAAATCCTGCGGTTTTTAGCAAACCGAGTACCAGACAATATACATTTAAAAAAAAAACTTTTCATTGTTAGGGGGGCCATAGGTCAGAGGTCAGTGTTAGGGGGGCACTGGCCCCCCCTGGCCCCCCTAGAACCGCCCCTGCATTGTTGTCGCTCATCACAATGTAAAGTATTAGCATGCTAGCATAGATCTGAAGCTAGATGTTGGCAGGAAAGAAGGGAGGCATGTGGCGCAGTGGATAGTGCGTTGGTGTTGGGATCAGGGGAGCACAGGTTCAAACCCCACTGCAGTCAGCATGTCTTTGTGTCCCTGAGACACTTCACCCCAAATTGCTCCTGTCCACAGTATTGAGTATGTAAGTCGCTTTGGATAACAGCGTCTAACGAGTGACATATCATGTGATGTAATGTCTTCTAGCGTTAGCAATTCAATTCAAGGATTTACTGTCATTTGTACATTAACTACCGGGTAGATATGTCAATGAAAATCTGAAGTCACAGCAAAACTAATTCATGTGAATGAAGTGATCTGTAAGCTGTGACAGTCGAGTAACAAGTCGAGAGCAAAGCCAGTAACACTTAAACAAATGTAAGTGTTGATTTTAAACCAAGCCCTAAATTCAGGGTTTTTTATCCAAGTAAACAACAAATATTGAAAGTTTGATTTGTATATCTACCTCTAAATCCCTTGTTCTAGCTTTCTTTTTTGTTCCGTCATTGTGTTGTTTTTCTTAAAGCAATATCATCTGGAGAGATTCTTGATTACTTTTCTACCTTATATTTCATTTAGCTTTAGTAACTGACAATAATGTGCAATCAACCATGATGATACAAACTCATAACAGCTAGAAAACTGTAGGTACGTTAGCTTCAAACACTGTAAGTCAAACATTACATGTTACTTGTTAGACGCTTTTGTCCAAAGCCACTTACATACTCAATACTGTGAACAAGTGTCCTGCCCAGGGACACAACGACATGCTGACTGCAATGGGACTCGAACTTGCTATCCCCTGATTCGAAGTCCAGCACACTATCCACTGAGCCACAGCCTCCCCATTTTAAGTGATGGTGCATTAGCTTCGACTAGGGACACTACAAATCTCCTAAACTGAGGCGAGGATTAACGCTTCTACTTCTAAGATAAGATAAGAAGGACTTCATTGATCCCAATTGGTTCCCGCAGCATAAAAAGACAAGGCATTGCACATTAAAGAAATACAAAAAACTACAAATAAACAATCCAAAATGTAAAGGTCTCAAATAGAAATAAAAATAGCATTTAAAAAAAGTAGAAAATATCGAAAAGCAAAAAAAAAGATTTTAAAAAATATATATTTTCAGCTTCTTTTTTTTGCTCGATAATTCCATATGTTTATAAATAAATCCCGTCAGGCTTTCAGTACGGCCGGCGCTCACAGAGTCCTCCCTGCTGCAGGCGGTGTTGTTTCGCCCCTCACGGCCCCAGGTAGAGTTTGTTTCTCGCACCTGGTCGCTCCTGTCTGACGGCTCTGAACACAAAGAGTCTCTCGGGATGGAAATGAACATTTTCATGGCTCAGCCTGCAGGGGCGTTTCCACAGCAATCAAACAAACATGGGTCCTCCTGTGCAACACTGTTCTTCAAATCCACAGGAGAACACACCTGGTGTTCAGAGGGGAATCTCACCTCTGTTAATACAGACATAGAAATGTATAGTAGGGTCCACTCCCAAGCACACAGAAACTGCCAGAGGCTAACTTGCATAGCTGGGCAGTTTGCTCAATTAGCACCATTTAGCACATTTAGACACTAGTTTAATAATGGCTTGGCCGATTTGGACAGTTTTGGAGATTATTGAGCATCCTGAATCCATTTCTGACATTTTCAGGATCAAAAATGTCACTTTTAACCAGAAAGTGGTTGTATTTGTACCCCCAGCGGGCTGATTTTTATACATATTAGGTCGATTTTAAAGTTTTAGGGGACTAATATCTGGCATTTTTTATCCTAAAAATGTCAGAACGTCCTCAAAAACCTCAAAAACCACCGCAAAATTGTCCAAATCGGCCAAGCTATTTGTTAACTATCGTCTTCATGTAGAGGATTAAAGATTTTTTTTAATTATATAATTCCCAATTTAGCTCAACATTTTCTCAAAAAATGGAACATGTTTTGTAGAAAAACATTGTTATATTCCTCAAAGTAAGGTGCTGCATGATCAGTTGTTGTGGGTTAGCAATATCTCCTTTCCTTTGGTAAAGGATGGTCCTGTGCATTCTTAAGGAGACGATAAAGGAAGCATTGAAGTCTCCTTTCCTTATCATCTAGAGATTTGAACTTGTTTCATGACACTCCGGTACTTCCGGCTCATTTCACTCAGTTAACAAACTTAGGAGAGACTTGTTTTGATGTAACAATATATTCATTGCTAAGAATACACAGATGAATGTAATGATGTTTGGAGAGCGTAGTGAGATTGAAATATGTGACAGATATAAAGACGGTTGAACGTGCGCTGAGCTTCATTATTATGACTTTTCACACATGGAGGACATCCTGAGAAAATGAATCTCAGACGTTCAGTTCTTTTTCACATCATGCTTCTTCTCTTCCACCGGGCAGAACCCATGAGAATCAGTGCCAGCAGACGACTGATTCACCGTTCTCTGCATTTCTTCACGAGAACCAGCCTCACTAATTATAGAAGTTTCACAAATCATGCTGGACTTTATTTCCTCCAAGAGACACTGGAGCGTTTCTGTGCAAATTCAACTCCAGTTGGTTCACACGCTGTGGAAACCATGTGTTTCTTTACTCTGTTCAGTGTGAGGGAGACCAACAGTATGAAAGTCATATAAAGTGGACACAATTCTCATTTAAAGCCTTGTTTACAGACGGATATCTGTATGCGGTCAGAAATCACTATGTAATGTGTCACGATATGTTTTCGAATCAAAGAAATTGGTAGAACAAATCTCCATCTAATGTCTAAATCTAATGTCGGCAACAGAATGGTGAAGATGTTTTATCATGCTTTTCTTGAAAGTGTGCTCTCCTTCGGCATCATATGCTGGTTCAGTAACGCCACTGAGGCACAGAAGAAGTCAGTCAGGAGGGCCGTAACTTTGTCCAGTAAATTGACAGGAATCTCATTTTCTAGTCTAGAAAGCTTATATAAGGACAGAGTTTTAAAATTGGCACACAATATTGTGAGTGACCTGAGGCACTCTCTCGCCTCTTACTTTGAACTGTTGCCATCCGGGCGGAGATATCGTGCCCCTTATTTAAAAAAGAACAGATCTACGCCGTCTTTCGTCCCACAAGCCATCAAACTCCTGAATAAATGATGGCTAGGACGCACTGTTTACCCAGCTGGTCTGGCCCTGTCCCCCCTATTTCGCAAATGAGGGCCTATAGGCCGCTTGTCATGTCTGCCGATATCTGGTTTTCTTATGTCTGTTTGCTTTTATCTGTGTCTATGTTGTTGTCAGTGATGTATTGTCTTATCTTTTTAAATGCGTCTGTGATGTGCTGCAACCCATTTTCCCCTCGGGACTAATAAACGAATACTATACTATACAGTATCTATTTTCTCACTTGGGATATCCTGAATTTCCTCCTTTTCCCTTCATTTCTTCAAAACCATCACCTTGTCTTTGACACCAATGTTAGTTTTTAGGATGCAGAAGATAAAGAAAACAGCGCGCACCCAGAATCTGCACTTAAAATCGATTGCAAAACTACATTGCATTGTAAAACCTATAGGTCATGGTGCATTCAGGTGACAACATCGTAGCGTTGTTGTAAAATATCCTTCTTGCTATTTTTATTATCCCCATCCCCAAATGAAGTCCTTAAAGAAGGTCCTCATGTCTGTGAAGCTGTAAAACTTGTTATGCCTTTTTATGCTTGAAAATGGCTTAAAATAGGATTATACAGTTAATTTGCTACAGATGTACAAATCAATTACTCTTCTGACCATCTTAAACCAATAAAGACGGTACATCTGCTTTATGAATACACCCCTCGCTCCACAGATAAGTGGAGAGTGTCTAATTCCATGCTTATGTAAGATTAGATGTCGTTTCCATCTCATAATGACCCATCATGAGGTTGGTATGGCGCAGGGAAAGCAGTGGAGGAGGTTTACAGAAACAGTGGGACATCTGAGAGCGATGCAAAGGTCAAACTGCTTTTGTTTCTGCCTTTCTCAGCTTCTCATGCATCACTCCTGAAATATGTGCTGCGTTAGGAGGAGAGACAGGGGGATGGGACACTGGAAAGAGGAACAATTGGTGAAAAAGTAGAGTGGGATTGATTGACTACAGCCTTTTAGTGCAGGAATGAGTCC